TCTGTTCCCAGAGGATTAAGTACCATAGAGGATAGTTCAGCAGTACAACTTCTCCCTCAGTAAGGTCTTTTAAGGGTTAATAAAGACAGGGTGTGCTGGTATTTGCACACCTCTTTAAAAAGAGAAGTTCCCTATGCGGACTCACGGAGGCGTACCTGAGCACTGCTTCCTTAACCACCCGCCATTTGTCCTGTTCAATGTGCACGCCCAGAGAGCCGTTAATAGTCATGTGTAATGTGTTTTGGAGTGCAGTGTATTGCTCTTTTCTGAAACTTTTTTCCCTTTCTTTCTTTTTTTTGTCAACTTTCTGCATTGGCAGAGCATCTTGGGATTGAATTTATGGGTATGAACCAATCATCATTCCTTTTAGCCTGCAGAATTTAGAACCTATGAGCTGAAATCTTTTCCCTTCCTACTCTTACCTTCCAGTTCCTAACTAATTTCCTTTTCCTTCAGAAGGGATCATACAGCTATAACAATGATTTCTTTGCTTCTAATCTATGATTAGTTTACTGAAATGTCACTGAGTGCAGCAGTTTCTAGATTCCCACACTTAGAGTTTAAAAATCACATCACCTACTGCAAAGTCACATATAGCCCACGTTCCTTGACCCTCTGATTGGATCTGACCAGGCTGTTATTTCAGAGCGGGTGGGGGTGGGGGGGGAAGGGGGTCAGGAGGTGGGGGGGGGAGTAAGTCGGAGAGGTGCGTAAGGCTATGGGAGGAACCAAACCAGGCCTGAGGGAAGAAAAGAAGCTCTAAATGCATCAGCTTAAAAAACACACCACATCTTAGGCAGATGAGAATGTGACATACACTGTAAAAAATCACCCACTTGATAGAGTAACATAGAAAGTCCTTATACTGCAACACGATATTGTATCCACAGACTCTGATTTTCTGGGGATATCCAGTCCCTCCTCTAGTCAACTTCATTATCTTAGGAGCAAGGAAATAGAAAACAGAAAGAAATATACCCAGTGCTATTTTAGGTGGAAATTCTAGTGCTAATGGAATTAACCTTGAGTCACTTAGATTATCCAGACCTGTAATCAAATAGAAATGTTCACACTGTAAACATAAAATAGTATCTCTTATGAGCCTATGAATCTGGGGCATAGTCCCTTTGAAGGCCTTTGTCCTAAATAATTGGGAGACAGGGCCAGTCTCGAGAGTAGAGGGAAGCCATTCTGTCATCCCAGAGGCTCCCTGAACACCTCCCGCAGTGCTGGAATGTGGCCGTGGGTCAACAAAGTGATGTCCTGATTAGCAGCTGGTGTCGATGATGTCATGCAATGAGGGTGCCCTGCAGCATAGCTGCTACTCTCTTTTAGATGAGAGCATCACAGTCCATACCTAATCTACGTTCCATAATTTCTGTAAAATAAGGCTGTTGTAAGTTCTGTCTGTGACAGGGATAGAAACTCAACCATCCCCACCCCCAAAAAAACTTTGAAGAGAAACTATTCATTTGTTGAGAAAACCCCCGCTTACATGTGAGTGATCCTTTGCACATTGGAGAACATCTCCCAAGAGTGAGAAGCACGAAAGTTCCCTCCAACGCCGCTCAGGTGGCAGGTTATCTACTTGATGAGAGGGATCTGTTCAGATCACCTCCCTCAGGATAAAAATTGTCCCACTACTAAAAAGGCTTACCGGCCTTTCCTGCAGGGAGGAATAAAATCTACCATCACCTCCTCCTTTTCCTTAATAGCATCTCTGTCCCATTTTAATCATTTTAGGGTCTAACTAGAATTTAATATTTCTATTCCCAGACAATGAGGTAGGGCAATGGGTAGTTCAGATATAGGACTTCTCCCTCAGCGTGATCTGAAGGGTCAGGAAAGGTACATGGTGCTGGCACCTGCGTACCTCTTAAAGGCGCACGGTCCAGAGACTCCATAGTCCCATGACAGCCAGTGTACTAAGCCAGAACATTCCCTTTAAGGAAAATCAGACCTTAAAGGTCAATTAACAGTGAGAAGGACAAGGCTTCTGTCTCTTAGCCTGGCTAGATCAGACTGGAAAACATGCTTGATCTGATTGACTTCAATGCGTCCAGCCAAACCATAGAGTAAAGACTCAGAAGCATTTCCAATCATTACGGCAGATCCGCCAACTGGACTGACAGATTCTTTTTTTCAGCACTGCCTCTAATTTGCTCTTGCCCTACTGACCCTGTCACACTAGGGAAAAAAATAAGGGGAACGGGGGTGAAACGAACCCATTGTTTATATGATTGTTCATCAAGTAGTTTTAACACATTCGTAATGTGGGGGGGGGGCGGGGGGGAATCCCCTGATCTAGTAAATCACTGGAAAGTGAAATATAAACGAAGATGAGAAAACATAGAATGTATTCTGTAAATGCTGTTGTGAATACAGAATCTTAATCCTACATCTGTATTCTAAGGGCCTTGTCTTTCATTGGTTCATTTTAGCACTTTGGCTTTATACACTTTGGCCTTCACTGAGCTTGCCTTTTTATTTCCGTGACCAATTTCACTGGAAAAACATGTGTCTTCCCACATAACCTGGGCAGAGCGGTGAGTCAGCGTGCCACATCTGCTGACAACCTGAGGTCGATCTATTCTTTTATGATTAGCAACCACCAACAATCTTGTCAACGGAATCCCCAGGAGTACCCAGGATGCCCTTTCCCCCTTCAGTCCTTAGATACATCCCATTTTTGTAGTTGTCAGAAGTAACTTACCAGCTTTTTCTAAAGATGGGATGTTAAAATGCTAGAGCTACCAAGCCCTCACCCTTTCAAAAGAAGCCAAGAGAGTGAGCGAAAGAGGGCACGGTAAAGCAGGGATTTCATTTTCGTGGCAATGATACTTGAACGTGGCTGTTTCTAAACCAACTGGTCACACCCAGAGGAGCCCTGCAACCCCCGGGCCCCTCGAGAAGGGACTGGGGGTGGCGGGGACAGGGGGGCACCGCCTCTCCTTCTTAGACTAACGCTAAAAACCGATCCACAGGCCAGGTCTCCGAGGAGACCCTGGGGCACCTGCTCACAGATTACCACCTTGTCAAATGTGATTCCCTGTCCTGGGGCTCTGGGGGAGGGGAGGCGGCAGACACAGCAATTAACACAGAAGCATTCACATTCCACATCCTCAGCTGACTTTCTCGGCACAAAAATATGTGACCCCACTCTATGTCTCCTGGGTCATTGTCTCACTGCAATGCACCAGCTGCTTTGCTTCCTAATTGTGGCTTCCACGTGACGGCCAGCCTAGGGTAGGCGTTATGCTGTATGGGGTCACCCTTCCAACTTCGCACCCACCCTCTCTTCCCACCCAGCATTTCCTCCCTCTGCTTTTCTTTTGTTTATTTATTTTTCCTCCCTTAGTATCAGGCATGCCATCCCAGGGACTTCAGATGGCTCCTTCACTTTTAATCTTGTTTTCCCTCCCACCTGCCTTCCTCCCTCTCTCCGTCATTCTGTCAGTCTGTCTGTCCTCTGGGTTTGTTTTTTTCCCCCCTCCCACTTCCGACCCTTTTGGTTTGTTTTTGTATAATTTCTGCAGCATTCTAGTCTTTTACCCACTGACTTCTATTCTCCTTCTCCTCCTGTTAATAAACAGTGCTATATTAATTTGATTTGACAATGTTCCTGACCTGTTAACTGGAATTTGATTACCATGGGCTTGGCTTGTAGGAAATGTTTTGTTTAATGATAAGGTCTACTGTATCACAGAAATTAAAATGCACCTTTTCATTTCAAGAAAACTTCCTGCGACTCGCCCTCTTTCAGTAAAGAAAATTGAAAATGTTCCCTAAGGCCCCATGTTGATGTCCAGATAAGAGACCTCAATTTGTATAATACCCCCCGGTTTTTGACCAGCGCATTAATCAATTTGGCAAGTTCAGCTTACAATGTTTATGATGTACCAGTCTGAGTTCTCTTCATCAGTGAACTTGTGAATGTCCTCCAATAAATGTAATTAGACTGGTTGGAGGCTCAGTTCCTAAGAGATCAGGTTCGCCATTAAATCTGCCAATCTCGAGAAGAGCCTGACCTACCAAAGTATAATCAAGGGATCCCTCCCCAAAACGGATTTGCAAATAGAAAGACTTCCGTGAATAAAAGACCAGTTGCATTGAAGAACCCAAAGTTCTAAGCATCACCCTCCCCTCGTGTGACCTCCTTGAGCTGACATGCCAAGCCCTCACTATAGGGCTGTAAAATCTAGTCCAAGTCGCATATCCCATGTGCTAGTGGTTTCTTTACACACATCAATTAGGTTTCTAAGTACAGTCAGTGAAGTGATAATAATTGTCCTTCAAAGGACAAATCTCCATCTTGGCCCCGGACTATCCTACCCACCATATTGGATTTTCTCTGATACAGTGCCCTGCTCTCCCCACCGTGGCGCTTATAACATGTTCACATGTTACCTTTAAATTGTAGGGATCCTGCCTCGGTATTGTTGCTAACTACAAGTCAAGCTCATGTTTGCAAATGTTTTTGACTTTATTTCTTAAGTTAGAAATGGCTCCTTGTAAAGACCACCGGAATATAAACTGGCTGGGAAATCAAAAGAGATTTGGGAGGGGAGAAGAGGGGAGAGACGAGGGCGAGGACTGCCCCAGTGGTTCCAATCCCAGCTCCTTTTATTGGCTTTGATTCCTGTTGCCTTTGCAAGAGTTTTGGTTTTTTAAATTAAAAACTACAATTTTAACTAAATCATTATTTTCTAATTAATGTTTATGATTTGCCAGTTTAATGCATATATATTTATAGCTTTTAAGTAAAGTAATTTAATAGTATAATTTCTTATTGCAAATGGCCCCAGCTGCCTTAGCTGTTTAAGCTCAGAGTATAACGCAGCCTATGCTGTACCTTAAGTATGTCTGCAGAAGTGATGAACTGTCACATATTTACTTTCTTGTGAACATGGACAGTGCCATGCCGCATGCCAACTATTCAGTTATTAAGTCCTGGTGAGTGTAATGGGGCTTTGGTGACGTGTGCTCTCATCCCTTTCCAGAAGCGGAGGAGCTCTACCAGAAGAGAGTGCTGACCATCACCGGCATCTGCATCGCCTTGCTTGTGGTTGGCATCATGTGTGTGGTGGCCTACTGCAAAACCAAGTAAACCTTCCTCCTCCGTGCCTCTCTCCCCTCAGCACAGAGAAGACGGCCTAGCCGGCCCAGGGCTCTGCAGAGAGTGTTTGCAACAGCCTAGTCTTGAAAAGCGGGAGTGGGGAGGCAGGGGGGCGTTTCTGCTCATTTTTTTTTCCTCTAAGTAATCTATTTTGAGGACTTTTTCTGTAACTAGAAAGCTTTGCCTGTTTGTGTGAAAGGGTTCAGAAGACTTGTGGTCATCGGCTGTAACCTGTGACCTGGGAAAGGGTTGGAGGGACGGGCTTCTGGGGCAGGTATGTGTGGACGAGGGTGGGCCCGCCACATCCTGAGAGGACAATGGTAGGCCCCCAAGGTGTGCCTGTCATGTCACTGCTGAAATTGTGTCCCACTCTGCACTCAGACTTAGGAGCTAAAGGAAACTATTTTTTGGCAGTGGTGGCAGTGAAGGTTTTTTAAAACATTATTGCGATGATTTGCCTGTTCCCTCTAATGAGCTTACCGGTTCAAATGCTCTCAAAGTGTGGGATGTACAAAAGGAATCTCATGGGAGGAGAATCAAGCAAATCTTGCTTTGAAAGAAAAGAAAACATTAAAGCAGATTTGTGTTCAGTGTGTCTGGTCCCTTAAGCTGGGTCCATATTAACAAATAGAATTACTGTGTGACCCGAATTCCCTTCACTTTTCTCTCTTACATAGAATTTATGCTTCAAACAGGAAATAATGTTAACAGTTTTGTTTTGTTTTGTTTTGTTGCTTCATCACATAAACTCTCTGACCAATCTTGGGGGCGGATATTATCATGATCTGAATGTTGCTTGAGGAACAAAGACAATATGTTATTAGACCCTAAAATTAAGGAGGAGGATGGCATTTTCTTAATATCCCTGATTTCATGGGTTGCCAGGAATGCATAAGCGATAGAGATAAGCCTTCCTGGAATCTACCTTCTGAGTCTTATTAGATTCAATCTCAGTATTTTAATATCCATTACCTAGTTCTACCAAAAAGTGTTACTAGAGTAAGATCATGTTATAACTGTGCTAAATCTACGGGCAAAATATGTACCTAGCTGCTGTCTTATACAATGCCATTCATGCACACCCACCATATAGAAGGTACAGATTCAAAATTAACCTCATCTCCTTAAGAGACACACAGGCAAAATTATGAATGAAATCAGCCTTATCAAAGGCACAAATTGGTACCTAAGACAAATGACCATCTGTAAGACTCGGACAAAGATGGATAGATCGCGAAAGTTGGCATTTGAGCCAAATATCAACTTGATTTATCTTTTCTTCTCTCTTTTTTTTCCCTATCTCTCAGCAGTCCAGTTAGATTTCTGTAAGAATCCCCACCCCAGCTCCTTAAACGTATTCACTAAGATTGTGTGATTCCACCTCTGTCCGTAGGCAGATTCCGAGACGGAGTGGCATATCCTCCACCAATCTCCTACTTGACTTCCATGTTGGTAGAATCAAGAGTGGACTGTACCAAGAAATGTAAATGATAGAAAAAAAAATAAATCTTCCCTTTTTCAAATCCAGGAAACAACGGAAAAAGCTTCATGACCGTCTTCGGCAGAGTCTGCGGTCTGAACGCAACAACATGGTGAACATAGCCAACGGGCCTCACCACCCCAACCCGCCCCCCGAGAACGTCCAGCTGGTGAATGTATGTTGAGTCTGGCCAGTGGAAAAGCTCAGCATCTCTCCTCCGTTCAGGCACCTTGACGTTTATTTTCTAAAGCTCTTAGGCTCTTAGCTACTGTCATTAATCACTATGGCTTCCAGGAATCCAGGGTTTCACCAGGACAAAATAATGGGAACATTTTTTAAAGTGGATTTGGTTACTGTAAGACCAGTACATTTCCTCTCGTAAAGTATTCATTAAGGGGTTGGAATAATAATATTGGGTTTGTTCTACAGGGAGGGCCTAACTGGAAGAAAGAAAAGAAAAACACATAGAAAAGTAATGAAATTAATGATCCAAGAATCAGAAGGAATTTTTTTTTCATGATTTGAAAATGAAGGCTCCTCCAGTGTCTGACAACCAAGTACTGATAACCGAGCTAAGGGCTTCAGAGTGACTTTTATTAGAGGCATCTCCCAGGACCTGATGATTTACTGATTCTGATTTACAAAGGAAGAAGTTAGGGCATGCAAGGGCCAAATGACTTATCGAACTCCCTTCTCAGTAGCCAAAGTGGGAGAACATAATGCTTTCTTGTTCCCTGACTCTTTCTACCTGATGTCAAACTCTCCAGATTAAATATATCTTTGATGACTCAAATATTCTGTTTAAAATTTACCAAGCACTCGGCTTTTAAATACAACTAGGTCATAGAATATTACATTCTGGAGAGTCTTTGGATGTGATCTTTCAAACCTCCCCTTTTTACAGATGAGGGCCGGAGCTGGACTCCACTTCCCTGGCTTTTAAAGTATCATTCTCCCTATTCCACTGTAATTTTTCCTGTTCTCTGCATTTCCCTCAGGTGTTTGGCTTTTTATAGGCAAAGCTTGAAGGTTACATTGCATTACTATTTTTTGTATCCTATAGAAAAAATATATTTGTGGAGCAAATGTATCCTAGACCCAAGTTCAGAGTTGCTGGTTAGTCAGCTGGCAGCAAGTCTTGTAGCAAGGACCTTCCAGAGAGGAGTAACATGCTGATACATTAGTTCCTTTGGCTGCTTCCCTCCCCTTACCAGTGTTCATTAGAATGTTCTGCACAGTTGATAAATGCATTCAGTCCATGCAGACACACCTACAATCTGTCACTATGTCTGTTATAATATATAGGAAGCAGAATGGCTGTTCGCATTCCAATTATCTCGCAGGCTGTGTTACTTTGGGCTTTATTTAATCTGTCTAAACCCCATTTCTTCATTAGGACAGCAGGCCTAAAAATAACACCTACTCCAAAAAGTTCTTTGAGCATTAAACAAGGCAATCCATATAAAACACTTAGCCCAGTGACATGCAGTGTGTGGTCGATAATTGTTAAGTATTATTTTCATTAGACTCACCAAGGTTCCATTGTCTTTCAAGGACCAAGAGGGAGACGGTACACAGTCTAGAAAGAGCTCATGAATCATGACCTCCCCATCTTTTCCTTAAAGCAAGTGAACCGCACATCCCAGAAAGAGCTACATGGGCTAGCCTTTTCACTAAGAGAACCAACTAGAGAGTTTCAAGCATAACTCAAGTTCTATATTTTTGGGGTTTCCATAAATACATCAGGTTCTTTTACAGCCCACGGCCCCTTGCTTATAAAGTGCCCACTTCATCTGAGAGTGCTCCTTTCCATGCCTTTTTCCGTTTCTCAATTCAATTTGGTGTAAAACGAACAGCATTTAAACACAACTTCGAAATGTATCTCTTTCACTGATTGAAGGCAGGAATAGCTCGTGCGATTTGGTGATGAAAATAAGTAGAATCTACTTGCGCTATATATAGGCCTTCTGTATATTGTGTGCTCTGTCAAGATGTGTAACCTTGACAGCTTCTCTAAGTCCTTCAGATCTCTCAGTGGACTTGTTAGCCTTACCACGGACAACAATTTGAAAATTTCAGTGCTATTATCAGGGCAACATGGGCCCTTGGAAACTGAAAAAGTAAAGTAGATCTAAAATACAGAGATTGTAAAAAATTTTTTTAAATTTTTAAAAAATATCCTCTCCTGACTTGAAATTTGGGATAAGACAAACCATCTCTATGCTTTTGTTTCCTTCAGCCATCTGTTAATCTTCTTCACCCACAACAACTATGACAAAAACGAACATGGAGCAGAAATTTATCTTGAATTCCACCTGCGTTATTGGTTGGAAATAAGATGGAAGAACTAGTTCTGTTTCTGATAAGATGCAGTTAAGATCACAGAAGCCACACTACGTGCGCCTCCAAAGGATGCTTCATTAATTTCATTTACTGAATTGAAAGGCCATATAGCCAGGAGGGGATTTGCCATCTGACCGTTGGAGAAATAGAATGTATCATGAAGTATATGTAGGAGAGCAGGTTTTGTGTGTGATGATGATGATGTTCCTGTTTTGATTAATAGGAATCTTCAAGTTGTGTCTCTTTGTTTATCCAGCAATACGTATCTAAAAATGTCATCTCTAGTGAGCATATTGTTGAGAGAGAAGCGGAGACATCGTTTTCCACCAGTCACTACACCTCAACAGCTCACCACTCCACCACCGTTACCCAGACTCCCAGCCACAGGTATGAGAATGAAAACCATTGCATGGCACTACTCCACGAGAGAACTTCTAGACCTTGCGTTTTGCTCTCACTGCCTAAGAAAGGAGCAGGAGACACATAGGAGGCAAGGACGTATAGCAAAATGTATGATTCGGGACAAAAACAGATTTTGGACATCAAGTGACTCTGCCATTTAATTGCTGTTTAAATTGCAGCCTCCCATTTTTTCAGTACTGAAAGTAAAAATAATACGTACTCACAGGATTGTTGTTCCCCATTTTAGAGATTGTCTTTATTCATGCCTGACTACTCACTGAATTGCTACAATAGAAAATGCATGTCCTAGATGCTCTATAGTAATTAGAAGTTCACCCCTTCCAGTGACTGGGCTGCCCTTGGAAATGTCCAACAGCTGAACTTAACCTCGGGGATTCCCGTGTGAGAGCATGCTACCAAGGGCAACTCGGGGCTGCCCAGTGTAGCTTATGGGCCAAGTGTCTGCCTCTCGAGAACAGAGAGATTGTAAGAACACTTAGTACATACTGACATTTGGTAAATATGTGTTGAACGGATGAACAAGTAAATAAACTCTATCCTTACAAAGCCAAACAAAATCAAGATCCTCTCTAGAGCAAGTAATACTAATTCTATTCTGAGATGAGTAACGTCATCAAATGCTGATAGACCTAAGCGGAATAGTTACCAGATCGCTTCCTTTCATTTCCATTTTTGCAGATCCTTAAAAAATACATATGTATCTCTCTTTTCCTCTCCCATTTCCCCTCCAGCTGGAGCAATGGGCACACTGAAAGCATCCTTTCGGAAAGTCACTCTGTAATCATGATGTCATCAGTAGAAAACAGCAGACACACCAGCCCAACCGGGGGCCCACGAGGACGACTTAATGGCTTGGGAGGCCCTCGTGAATGTAACAGCTTCCTCAGGCATGCTAGAGAAACCCCTGACTCCTACCGAGACTCTCCTCATAGTGAAAGGTAAAACCGAAGGGCAAAACTACCCCAGAGGAGAAAGCACCCCAGTAGCAGAATCCCCATGAGCACCCGTGGTCTCACCTATGGAACTCTGCTCCAACGAGACTAAGGGGCGGCAGTTGCCCCTTCCAGTTCCCTAGTTGATGAAGTCATCTTTTTGTTTGACTGAACTCATTTCTTCTGAGCTGCTCCCATGGTCCCGGGGCCGACGGGCAACAGATTCTTAAGGAGCGGGACTGATTTGACGTGTCCGGGGCAGCTAACCCAGAGGTCGCAGCTCTGACCTTAGGCTCACACCCACTCTGAGCCTCTGTTTTCTCTGCTGTAACTTTAGAGAGATGGCACCAGTGATCGAGAAGGACCCTTCTATAATTCGAATTTGCCAAGTTATCCAAATTCCGGTCTAGCTGGTCTCGTGATCTCGGGTGCTAACTTTTTCTTACCTTCCAGTCTCTCTTAAATCAAATCAAGGGCTGTCATTGCTGACTCTCATGGGGAACTGCTTACGTTCCATCATATAGTATCCCGTTTACAAAATTCGAAAAGAAGGGACAAGTAAATCTTTTGTATGCTGCTGACGCAGTCTTCGCAGGGGGTTTTCAAAGCAGATATTGCTCTATTCCAGAATGTTCTGGCTTTCTTCTGGGGATATTGGATCGGGTTGGGGGGGGCGGGGGGCACAAGGGTTATAGACAAGGTAAAATCAAAAACAGAGGGAAGGAAAGTAAGAGATGCTTCATAGGAATACTGAATTCATAGATTCTCTTTATTCATTTTCACTTAAATTGGGAGAGAGTTAGAGCCAACCAGGATTTGTGGCAGTATCAGTAAGTTGTTACTTGTTTGTTTCCAAATCCAGAGGGATACTGCCTGTTTGTTTACTGTATGATGATCTCAGTGTAATCCTTGACCACTTGCTGAAAGGTTTACGTGATGTCCATTCCATACCTAGTTACATGGGTAGGGATAATGCTAACGGACCCTTTCCACTCATGGACTGGCTGGGAAGTCCTTGAAGTAATGAAGTAATGAAGTAATGAAGGATGACTGGTTCTGGGCCAGCAGGTCCTGGAGAGCTTGCTGATCTCTTCTTCAAGGGTCTTTACCCCAAAATGGTATTTCAGAGCTTTTTGGAATAAGAGGTTGCTCTGTCATTCATCTGTGAAAATGTAGGCATGGTCCCAAACTGGTTTAAAAACCTCAGTCTTAAATTCATATAATTGTATCTTTATGTATTAAGAAACTCTATCTTAATCCAGTCTTTTTTGGAACCGGAGAAAGAGGCAAGGGATCAATTCTGTCTTCATCACTCCGTGTGATATTTCTCTCTAAAGGCTGATGTTTTCCTGCCGTGGTAGGCTTCCGTGCACACCACAAATACTATCTAGGACCTCAGAATCCACCTGAACCTCGAGAGCTTGGAGAGAAAAGATGAATCACCTTTATGTGTTGGCTGAATCTGGATTAGCACTTCTCAGAGAGCTTAATTTAAGTATCCCCAGAACAGAAGTTGGAGCCTCGAGCCCCAAGTATTTCCATCTCTAAACACCTTCCTGTTTTAGACACAGCTAGACCTCACATCTGTATGACTCTGAATCATGGCAGAAGAGCAGGAAAGTTAATAGGTTTCCTGTTCCTGTTAGCTAGAGTTCGAATAATGGTGTCTTGTGTCATCACAGGTCTTGTCAAATTAGACTCTGTGAATGCCAGCGTGAACAAAAAAGTGTTTTGGTGCTATGCATTGGCAACATTTTTATCAAAGTTGAGAAATGTGACTCTGAATAAGCCACATCTTCTTCAGTGCTAACTCAGGCCTTTCTTGTTCTGGAGAAAGAAATCATGACATGGTTTTTAAAAAAAAAAAAAAAAATGCATTCAATGTCTTGACAATGAGATTTACAGAGCACTGCTGGATATAACATGACGTGAGGTAACATGGTATAGCCAGCCCTGAGCAGTCACAAAAGCTAAGCCAAAGACTGATGTAGCCATGGGTTTTTGACGAGAGGTAGACTGGAGCTTGGAAGTACCTAGAGCGCCAACATAAGGTTCTCTCCGGCTTGTTTCTAAATGTCTTGGTCACTGGGATGGAGAGTTGCAAATAGAATGTTAAAAGAAGTAGCATTTCATGGAAAAACTGAAAGCACACAAATGTGTTACACTGTTACCAGGAATAAATCTAAGTTACTATGCTCTTTTTTTTTCATAAGACATAACCTTATAGCTGAGCTAAGGAGAAACAAGGCACACAGATCCAAATGCATGCAGATCCAGCTCTCAGCAACTCATCTTAGATCTTCCTCCATTCCCCATTTGGGCTTCATTCTCTAAGACCCCTTGGCCTTTAGGAAGGTATAGTATTTAAGTAATACTTCTTTCCCTTCCAAATCCCTGCGCCTTGGTCCTTGTACACTGAAAGGTTTCCAGGACCCAGTGCCCTCTTGTCCTGACTCTGATGCTTTTATTTAAAATCACGATGAACTTGCAAATCCCCAAAGCTTGGATGAGTTAGGCAATCTAGCTGATCTTTGCATGTACTCCCGTGAGGAAACTCTTGGCTACATAATTCTAGATTCCAAGGGTGCCGAATGTCCTTAGTGTTAAAAATCCAGAAGTGTATAATGCATAGAAATTCTTTGTTTTCTGAATCTATGATATCATGCCTTCTGTCCCCTTACCCTCCCTACTCTCTGCCTTTTCTTATGTCACACTCATGCGGGGTATTCTGTGCTCACACAGGTATGTGTCAGCAATGACCACCCCGGCTCGTATGTCACCTGTAGATTTCCACACGCCAAGCTCCCCCAAATCGCCCCCTTCGGAAATGTCTCCACCTGCGTCCAGCACGACAGTATCCATGCCCGTCATGGCAGTCAGCCCCTTCGTGGAGGAAGAGAGACCTCTGCTTCTGGTGACACCACCAAGGCTGCGGGAGAAGTATGACCATCACCCTCAGCAGTTCAACTCCTTCCACCACAACCCCGCCCATGAGAGCAACAGCTTGCCCCCTAGCCCCTTGAGGATAGTGGAGGATGAGGAGTACGAAACCACCCAGGAGTACGAGCCAGCTCAAGAACCTGTTAAGAAACTCACCAGTAGCCGGCGGGCCAAAAGAACCAAGCCCAATGGCCACATCGCCAACAGGTTGGAAATGGACAGCAACGCAAGCGCTGAGGGCACTAACTCAGAGAGTGAAACAGAAGATGAGAGGGTAGGGGAGGATACACCCTTCCTGGGCATTCAGAACCCCCTGGCAGCCAGTCTTGAAGCACCTGCCTTCCGCCTGGCGGACAGCAGGACTAACCCAGCAGCCCGCTTCTCGACGCAGGAGGAATTGCAGGCCAGGCTGTCTAGTGTAATCGCTAACCAAGACCCTATCGCTGTATAAAACCGAAATAAACACATAGATTCACCTGTAAAACTTTATTTTATATAATAAAGTATTCCACCTTAAATTAAACAATTTATTTTATTTTAGCAGTTCTGCAAATAGAAAACAGGAAAAAAAACTTTTATAAATTAAATATATGTATGTAAAAATGTGTTATGTGCCATATGTAGCAATTTTTTACAGTATTTCAAAACGAGAAAGATATCAATGGTGCCTTTATGTTCTGTTATGTTGAGAGCAAGTTTTGTACAGTTACTGTGATTGCTTTTCCACAGTATTTCAGCAAAACCTCCCATATATTCAGTTTTTGCTGGCTTCTCGTGCATTGCATTCTGATGTTGACGGGATGTATGATTTGCAAGACTTGCAACTGTCCCTCCGTTTGCTTCTAGTAGCGCCCGATCAGTACGTCTTGTAATGGCACATCCATCGAAATACTCTTCTTTTTTGTACGAAGTTTTCTTTTGCTTTCAGTATATGAAATGAGTTGTGTCTCCTCTGCCAGCCAAAGGTTCGCTTCACTGGGCTCTGAGATAATAGTAGATCCAACAGCATGCTACTATTAATTACAGCAGGAAACTGCATTAAGTAATGTTAAATATTAGGAAGAAAGTAATATTGTGATTTAAAAAAAAACTATATTCTTAATCAGAAGACAGCTCGCTCTCGCGAAAATGAGCTACCATTTGCTTTATTTGGGTTTATTTTTCTTGACAAAGAGCAACAGTTTGGGGGACTAGCATAGAAAATGGATTCTGGCTTGCTTTTCGGGGTAAACCCATTACCTTAGCAGAGGACTCCACCTCAGTTTCGGGGGGAATGACACAGCAGGTCATCTAGTTGAAAATCAAACCGTGGCAAAGAAAGGTGCAATCGTTCCTGACTTGGGTTTCTCGTTGACTCGGGAGCTGGCCATTGGTTGTGTCGTATCAGCTCATGAACAGATGTGTTATGGCACAAAATGACCATGAAATGATGGCACACTCAGCATTTTGTGTGAAATACTTCTGCCGTGAAATACGCCTGCCATATGCGGTGATGACTAGCCATCCTAGGGAAATAGGTCTGTTGTAGAGTGTCTAGAAGGAGTGAGTGTGTCTAGAAGGCACAGGTGTGACTTGGGTGCGGTCTTAAATAGTTGTGTTGCCCTCGCCTTTCTCCTCATGATTTTCCTCTTGTTTTTTCAATGTTGCCTTGATCAGGTCATAACTATGCATGAACATTTTTGTCAGGAATGGCCAACGTGCATGTGATTTGTGATTGGCAAGAGCCTTCCATGAGTGATGATTCGTCAGGGAATGTGGACAGTGTTGGAAAATTGCACCTTTCCTTGCAGAAGTGACCCCCACCTGTGTCCTGGCCTCTCCATCTGCAGCCTGTATTATCCATTCCCCACCCCCTTTCTTTTGCTTTACTGTTACGGAACAGGATGAAGATGGGTCTGAGCTTCGCCTGTTCTCTCTGATTGTAAGTCCAAGGAAAGCCCATAGGCATTAACATTTGGAATAAATGCTAATTCAGGAAAATAAGGGGATTTTTTTAAAATGCAGCCCCCATTTTACACCCTGCCCGACATCTGTCAAATCAGGCTAGAGCTTTTACTTAGATTCCCAGTGGCCTTCTGGGATCCATGGGGTAAAATGGGAAAAAGGTCGGCAGGGGGTTGCAAATATGAGGCGTGAAGTCACCGAGAGCAACGTTTGCAGATGAACTGGATTTAGATGCTCATCGAATTAGATCTTCATCAAATGTCTGTGTTCAAATTCTCGGGAAGAAGGGACGTGCAAGGAGGTCTTGGGAAAATGTGGGTTGGACACGAGTCATGTCATTAAGCTCCTTTCATGTTTCTACAACCCACAAAGATGTCTGTCTGCAGGTCCTTGAAGTTTCTCTGAGTATCTGGTGTCCTGAACCGTACTTCATTACCCACATGCCACTTTCTCTGTGCTCTGTCAGGCTGCCCGAGTTGCTCCAATTTCCCTGTTCTGTAGAAATGAGTAAGCTCCTGGCAGGGGGAAGAGGACAGTCCACCCAAAGAGGTCCTTTAAATTATGCTAATATTGCCTTTGAAGGCCTTGGCTCATTCAGAGACTATGTCAATAAAGAAATTTCTACCATTAATGAAAAGTCTAAAATTTCTGTTGCAAAAATCTTAGGGCATTGGAGTAATCCAATGGCCCATTGTGGAGAATTTCTGGAATAAATGAAATCTTCTGCTGAGAGGAACCAACATTTCCCTCAGTATGAAAATTTCTATATACATTTTCAGGTCACAAATATATAGGGACATTTAGGACAAGAGGATGTTTTCTTTACAGCTTGATTCTGGTCACTCAGAGAGGTGGCATATTTGCTGGGATAGCCTTTCCTTCTGTAGAAGAAGAGTTTCTCCTGGTAAGAAAGGCCAGCTGTCTCCTCAGGGCTACCTGCTGCCACCACCAGCTTTGTGTTCCAAGGGACTGCTCTGTGATGTTTAGTCACCACATGGCTTTCAACCATCCCTGTCTAGAAACTCAGGTGGTGTGGTGGTAATCCCAAGAAGGGGTGTAGACCCATGCTCCCAGCCTGTGGCAAGCTTTCGGGGGTTTTCAGGGGTGGAAATCACCCAGAAGTTTGACAGCAGCTGTGTTTCCTGGGTCTGAAATCCTATCCCATCAAGGGGTAGTGCAGTACAGGTGAAACTTCTTTTCTCACTCAAGATTCATTTTCCATCCTATTCTCCCTTCTTGCCTGGTATGACTTGTTTTGTTTTTTTCGAGAGTGCCTAGACAGCCTCAGGCTTTCCACCAAATGGCACTCTGCCTGAGTATATGTGAATGTGTCCCAAACACCAACAGACCATATCTTCCTTGTTTAAGTGTGACTGTCTTGATAGAGATGGAGTTTATCCAGGGTAACTTGCTCATGACTATTCCTTTTTTTGGCCCGAGTTAAAAGGTGCATGGCTCATAGGGATGAAAATAAGGAAGGCCTGGTTTTATCTTTTAGTACTAGCTCCATTCCACCACCCACAAAGATTTCTATCTGCAAAGACCCGTGAAACACTGCAGAGAAATGCAGGCAAAAGGAAATGGCCACATTTCATGAGTTCTATTATATATTCTTTTGTAAATACACATCGTATGTTACTTGGATGTTTTCCTAAATCATTTACTGTCTTTATGAGTTAATGTCCGTTTCTTACTCTCTTGACTGACTATGTAACATTGTAAATAACATAATGTCCTTTATTATTTATATTTAAGCATCTAACATAGAGTTGTTTTCATATAAGTTTAAGATAAATGTCAAAAATATATGGTTTTTTTTTTTCATTTTTCTTTGCTTTAAAATTATGTATCTTTTCCTTTTCCTTTTTTTTTTAAGAATAATTTATTGTTCAGGAGAAAGAATGTATATGTAATTGAAACTATTTGAAGAATGCACATTTGAAGGCCCTGAGGTACTGATAAACTAAAGAATTTATTATCCAAAATACTAAGCAATAAGTAATTGTGATTTATTTAAAGTTTTGTTCATTTTCCATGAAAGACATACTGCAATAAAAATGCTACTCTGTGGAGGCGTGGGAGTGTTGCTCAGCAGACTAACGTTTCAGTCTGTTAGACCAGCACCTTGCCGCTGACTGTGATAGTTGTATTAATGTAGGAACATGTCTGATGGACCCCATGACCATCTCCTCTGTCTCTTGCTTTTGCCAAACTGCCTTTTCTTCCATCACCTTCTGCCTGTGGTTCTGCTCACCACCGTCTTCCATGTCCAAGGGGCCACAAGCAAGCAATACGATGTCTTCTTCCCCTTCTCCTCACCCCCCCAATAACGTATCAGAGAGGACATCTTAGGGCCTGATTGCCTGGATCCCAGTTGTTATTTTGTAGTGACTGCAAGAGAGTTCTTCAGACTAATGGAAATGTCAAAGTGACAATTCCTTGCAGTCGTGACAGGGAAACCTGTTACTGGGATTCAAGTAATCCGACGGCCAACAGGGTCCAAGAAACAGCCATCAGAACCTGGCCATGCTCAGCTTTCCTGTAGCTCCAGTAAATTTATTTTCCATCAGGCCTATGATTTATGGATTCAGGCCCACAATTTATTGATTCAGTTTTGAGAGAAGATAAGGCTAAGTTGGATTCTTCCCCCTCATGGTATCAATAAATCAAACAAAATGCCCATCTTACTGCTCAGGGCAGGGCCTATGCATGAGAAATTTCCCACATTCAAAGATTTAGTCATAGAAATGAGGAGATAACTTTTCTTGTTGAAATTAGCCGAAACAAAAGCCATATTTTAGCAAATAGGTATTTGCATGGGTAATACTTTTTATATATTTCAAGCAATTTACTCATTATTCTAGATAAGATTAGGGCTTCTAAAGTATGTGAAATAGAGCTCAGCAATCCTGTGGGGGTACACAGGGGCCTCCACTGGAGTTTGAGGGTCCCCGATGCGTGCCATCAAAGGCCACCTTCATATACATACATGATTCCTAGTACCTAGTAAGAGCTCCACTGGTGTCATTTCCCAAACAGTCTGGATGTCTAAGAGATTCCAATAGTGGCCTTTGACTGTACTAGTTCTTATTATTTACATTATGAACTTTTCAAAACAATCCAGAATCCTCATATCTGTGATTTGTGTCAACTTTGGCTTACATAGACGTACGCACACACACACAATTCCTCATACACACCATCCTGAAGCCGCCACATCCATCTCCCTTGTCCACTCCAGCCAACCAGCCATTTGGCAAATCAAGGAGTGCACGGAATATTGAAAAATTAAAGACTGAGATACTTCCTGTATCTTCAAGTTGAAGCTGAGGCTTTGCCCACCTTCTCAAACCAAAAACTACAAGCAGCTGTCTTAGTAACGTACGTTAAAATCGGATACCTAACATATATTGATATATGAGGCAGAAGCTTATGGAGTGGACCGTGGTACAGAGAGAATGAAGATTATCCGAATATCTAGATTATTACTGCAATTCTCCATTCATTTCAATGCTGTAGACTGGAATGTCAAACCCAGGCCAACAACACCTTGTAACCTAATGTCTGGGGAGGACATCATTAGATTTCCCTGCTCTCTCCCCTGATGATGAATGACAAAAGGGCCTGATGCCAGGGATTGGGGGTTCAGTGAGGCAATTCTGAAGTCTAGAGATTTAGGATGCTGGAGGGAGTGGAAAATTTTGATGACTTCATGTGAATCACTTTGTAGTCTATCTTGGGCTTGCCCTTTCTGAAGCAGAATAAAATAAATTTATGGAAACCATTACTCCAAAAGACCGATCTGGTAGGCAATAGAAATACTTTCAGTTTATGTAAGACAGGACCCTTCTGCTGCTACAGTAAGCCACCATATTCCTCTCTTTATAAGGCTGTGGTTGGACAGAGAAGCCAGACCCAATCCCACATGTCCCTGTGGGCTTCTGTGCACAAACTGCGGCTGTCATTGCTGGACCTCTCTGGTGAGCTGTTGTGTTCGAGCTCCCGTAAACTTCAGAACATTGCTTGGCATGGGGATTGCAAATGGATTTTGTTACTTGGAGGAAACCCATCATGATCTACCTGATGTTTTTAAAAACAAACCGGAAGAGACCAGTAATTCATAAAAGGAGACAGAGAATAGGGTAGGAGTTCTATCCTTTGCCCCATCAAATGTATTTACTGCACAGAATTTGATGGAGGAAGTGACTCTCTTCCCACCCCACAACATGCCAAAGAGGCTAGAGAATTACCTTCACAGATACAAAAATCATTCATTGCTTATGTACACGTTTGCGCATATGCAGAGAAATAATCTATTATGCATAAATAATATTTTATAATATTTTATGGCTTAAAACATCCTTTTCATTTATAATCCTCTTAAACCCATGGGATGTTGATATGATAAATAATGAGGAAATTTTAGGTGCAGGAAAGTTAAAAGTGTTTCCTGGAGCTACCCATCTAGTAAGTTACAGAGATAGCACTTGTACCCAGGTTTTCTGACTACAACTCCTATTTGTACCCATTGCACTCCTTCCTTCCCCACTCCAGATTCAACAAAGGCTGCCGTTTTCAGCCTTTCATGGCCTCAAGGCAAGTTACATCGAAAACCAAGTTTCTATTTCAAAGAATATGAGCTCCTTTGACTTTGGTTTAGGTTACCCCAGAACCCAATTTGCTTGACTTAGTGACTATGCACTTTTTTCCTA